CGAGCGCTCGCTCCTCGCTGCGCGCGCAGGGCAGGCGCCAGGAGAGACAGGCCCGCAAATAAATAAGAAAGGAGACTAAATCGATGGCGATTCAGAAACGGCCGAGTTACTCGGCAGCTCTGTTAAATCAAACTAACAAGGGAGGTAACAAAAAAGGGATACAGGCAATTAGCGTATAACGAAGATCTTGTTAACGGAGCAGCTGGAGAGCAGGGTGAGCGGGACGTGGGCACCCTGGCCGGGGGTGCTGCACTGAGGCCAGCGAGCACCAACCCCCCCGAAAGCCGGGAGCCGATATCTGGGCTCAGCATGGAAAGACCCAGGAGAAGAGGTTCGTCTCTGCACTGGGAACAGGCTCCACGAGCTGGAGCTTCAAGGAGAAGGCGAGCGCGTGCAAGGCTGAGGATGAAACCGCCACTGCAAGAGCGTGGATGCCTCCTTCCTTCGCTTGTGGCCAGGGCGCATGAAGATAAGGGTCTAACCCTGCTTCTCCATCACCCAGGGTGCAGCAGGTCTCCTCCAGGCAGAGCAGTCCCACCTCCTCATCCTCTGACCCTACACGTCCACCTGCAGTGGGGGAAACGCTCCCACGCTCCTGTCCTGCGCCTTCACAAGGAGGAACCCAGGACTTTTGCAGTTCTTTGAAGATAATGGGGGCTTTCTGGACTTGAAAACGAAGATTCAAAACCAGCTCAGGTAAAAAGCCCACCGAGGGCCTGGAAGCCCCCAAGGCACCGAAACGCCTCCCCCCACCCAGCTGCGTGCAAAGGCTGGCAACACCTCTAAATAGCTTTAACTTCTTAATTAACAGTCTGGAAAAAGAGGTCATCAGCAGGTTGATGAAATCCGTGGGCAAGATTAAAGGCAAAGAAGTCAGAGAGGCCAGGGAGGGCAAGAAGAAAGATCAAAGGGAACGAGCCTAATAGGTACCGGGGCATGAAATCTGGGATTACAGACGGGATATTTTCCTGCTCGCAAGAAAGGCCTGCTGACAGGGAAGCGATCCCAAGAGCAGATCACGTGGCACTTGTAGACGCTTCAAGCCAGAAGGGCCCATCAGCTTCGTCCAGCCGCGGCTGCACTAGGAAGCCGGCAGGGATGCCGGAGAGGAGGCCTCCAGGCATCGCTCTGCCCCGGGAGCCAGCCCGCTCCCGCGCAGGCGCAGCTGCTGTTTTAAACACAGACACTTGGGAAAAGCTGGATTCTTGCCTTTTCCTGTAGGATAAAAAGGGCTTTTTTCTTTTTTTTTTTTAAACCTGAGAGCCGCTTTTTGCGGCAGGGAGGCAAGGGGTGGCAC